GAAATGTACGGAAGATGGTCAAAAATAGTGATGACAATCTCTAGCTAGTAGGATGTCAGGTGATTTTCATTTTGCACCTACAATTTTTTTGAAATTCTTATAAGGACTATATATAATCAGAAAAAATAGCAAAGCTATTTTCGTTTAAAAAATAATAATAACCATTATCTGCAGGACTTCCCTGGACATCTTTTTGCAACTTCCTATGAATCTATAATTATTACAAAATTTAAAGTTTTAAAAATTGACCTACCAATATTTATATCCAGATTTTTAAAACATAATAACTGGCCAATACATCAGCTTTTAAAAAATCTTGTGAGTTCCCACTAATGGTCATCAAATATTGACTCGAATCTCACTTAGGTTAAAAAATGAAAAAGATTCAAATATAAATTCGTGCTCTTAGGAACATGGCATTTTAATCTTTTTTTAAAAGGCACAGGGCAAAGAAGGGGCAGAGGGTGGAGCAACCTGGGGCCAAGACAAAACCCCCTTCTACTGATGGGTCCGAGAAACGGGCTCCACCAGCACTTCCCAGGCACCATTTGCGTCAACACAAACCCTCGCAATGGTCCCCAGGCTCGAGGCACGCTGGCAGGCACACAGCATCCTTTCTAAACCACAGAACCATTTTCCTTCTCCTTAATATCTCTGTGCACCCCCCTTGCAGAACACCCCCTTCATTTACTTTCCATAGAGACCTCACAGGAGAAAAAACACTCTTATATGATTCCTTTTTTAAAAAAATATACTTAACAGCAAATACTAATAGTTTTGGAAAGGAGTAAGCGGTCCCCTTCTCAAAGGCCTCTGGAACAGCTCCGGCTTCACAATGAGGTGTGTGTCCTGCTGCTCCCGTGATACTAACTAAAGCAGCTGCTCTGCAGCATGAACAAAGGTAGTGAGGCTGCTGGTAAAGACAGAACTGTGGCCATCGGCGCTTGACGGCTGGAAGGCAAGAAAGGAAAGAGCAGAACAGCCTGGCAGCCACTGCAAACAGCAGGATTGCTTCATCAAGGGTGAGAGTGGTTCACAAGATCTTGAAAGCAGCCAGAGACGGCAGAGCACAAAATTCAGGTGTGGGACTATAATTGCCCCAAAGCTCCCACGGCTAAAGGAGGCCATCTGGTCAAGAGTGATGGAGGAACAGAGACAGGAAGCTGCTGGGTAGCAGTCTCTTCCTTCAGTTTGAGCCCCTTAGTGACACACATCTTTGAGTGCTGGATGCCAACACCAAGCTGAACAATGATCTTCCAAATCTGATCCAGTGCATTTAGATGATTCAAGCCTTGTCTGTTTTTATTGCTATTTTCTCCTCCACTGCTGGTTTAGAAAGTCCTGAATAATCTTCCTGCTTCTGTCTCCACACTTACCCCTTGCATTCCAGTTCCCAGTCATAAAGACTCCCTTCCTATTCCCCAAACACCCCCTGCCCTCCCAGATCCTTCCACCCAAGTCCAGGTTTGATGCCACTCCACCATATTCCCAGAGGATGTCCGTAACAGCACTTACCCCAAGCTGAGAGCACGTCATTCACCTGGTCCCAGCACTGCCTTAGGAGGACCACTGCCAGCCCCATGCCCTCTCCTGCAGAGAAACTGGTTCAGAAAGCACAGGCCACGGGGAGTCAGGAGTTGGAGGGCTAATATCGTTACCAGGGCAGCCAAGAGCTTAGCCAGGTGAGGAGCACGCCCCCTCCAAACTCAGCTTGTCTGTTTCCAGCTAAGGAGAGCCCCTGCTCCCAATGCTGCCACTTTGTAAGGCCTGAAAGGTGAACCCCCAACCACTGGGAGGCATATGGTGGAGCGGCAGCAAACCAGAGGGACCACATTGGTTTGGGGATGCCTGGGGCTCCCCTCCTTCCTTCCTTAAACTCCCTCACAGCACACAACCTGTGGCCTGAGCCTTAGCCCTTGCTCAGTAGAGTCCCAGGCAGGGAAGCTGACATCCCTGGAAAAGGAGATTCAAACCAAAATAACCAGACACCTGAGGAGGACAACCCCTGTAAGAGGAGGGCAGCAGGCTGAATATGCACGACGTGAAGCAGAATTTCACATGCAACATGAACCAAAACATTTTAATTTGCATAATAAATATCCTCCAAGGCATAAAGGAAGAGATTGTAATACAAACCAAGGGGAAATATTAAGAAGAAAAATACAAAAGTTGAAATAAAGAATATAAGAGATGAGATAAATAACATGATGGACACAAGAAGAGAACAGAGCAAAGCAATGGAAGCTCAGAGGGACGAATTCTCCCAGAAGGAAGAACAGAATTAAGGGATAAGTTCAGATGCAGGAAATAAAGGCAGAGGTTTCAGTATGCAGATGATGGACAACAGGAAAGAAGAAAGGCAAAACAAATATAAAGAAAACGGAAATATTTGAAGAAAATTCATAATTTCCCAGAATTAAAAAGAAAAGAAAGACTTCAGACTAAAAGAGTTCATAAAGGACCAAAAAAGATACACAAAGACTACACAGGGCATATTATAGTGAAATTTAAGACTATTGAGATTACATGGAAATTCTAAATGCTTCCAGAGAGAAACAGAAAGAAAAAGAATCGAGTTAACATCAGACTTTTCAATAGGAACACTGATGCAAAAAGACAACGGAGTAATATTTTTAAAGCACTGAAGGAAAAGAATGTTGAACATAGAATTATCAAATGTGAGGGCATAATAAAGATGTTCTCAAGCATGCAAAGACACTAAAGTTTTGCCACATAAAGGCTCACTCTGAAAATATTTGCCTGGGAAGTACTCAGATAAAAAGATAAATCCTGCAGGATAAGATATATGGGAAATTAGGCTGCTCAAATAACTTAGTAAGGTTTGTTGTTTATAAAAGGACCAAAAAAAAAAAAAAAGATCAGACTTCCAAAATTCTAGAATTAAAACATCAGGTAGTAGCACCACAATTGGGATGAGGGCTGGGAAGACAGAGACCCAAGGTTCCCATGCACCTCCTAACATACTTGTGTTATTAGAGGGCAAATACAGAATGTGATACATTTAGGAAATGAATAAGGATAAATAAACACAAATTTGGATCTTAAGAACAGCCACTGAAACAACAAAAATAGAATTTTTTTAAATGACAAGAAAAAACTTTATCCACTAGAAAGCAGGAAATGAGAAAAAATAAAAAACAAAATATAGCAAGAAGAAAAATATTAGGGGCCGGCCCCATGGCCAAGTGGTTAAATTCACATGCTCTGCTTCGGCGGCCCGGGGTTCAGATCCTGGGTGCGGACATGGCACTGCTCATTAGGCCATGTTGAGGCGGCGTCCCGCATGTCACAACTAGAAGGACCCACAACTAAAATATACAACTATGTACTGGGGGCATTTGGGGAGAAAAAAAGCAGGAAAAAAAATATTAAATAAGATGGCAGAAATAAATCCTAATAAAACAATAATTACCATGTAAACGGATTAAACTCACCTATTAAGGACTCTCAGATTGGCTATAAGTAATACATTGCCTACAAGAGACAAATACACAGAAAAATTGAGAAAGAGGATGGAGAAAGACATCCCGAGCAAATATGAGCCAAAAGAAAACTGGAGAATCAATCTCAATATCTGATAATACAGAATTCAAGGTTAAAAAAAAATCATATGGGACAGAACTAGGTGCTATAAACTAGAAAAAGAAACAAAACAGTAAAAGATGTGATCTTTCCTATTATATGGACCTAACAATATAATCTCAAATATATAAATACTCTTACATAAAGCAAGAACTGACAGAATGACAGGAAAAAGAGATAAGTCAACAAATACACTTGAATATTTTAACCTACTCCTTTTAGAAACTGCTAGAACAGGCAGACAAAAAATAAGCAGAGATATAGAAGGTCACAATAATAAACTATACATGCTCAAGCAAGTAGATATAGAGAGAGCTCCACACACAAACAGAGAATACGTAATTATTTTCAACACTTATAAAAAGTAACCACACACTAGGCTAAATCACCAGGACTATCCTCTTTGACCATAAAATTAAAAAACAGTAACAAAAACCAAAGCTTAAAAAAAATTGCATATGCCTAGAACTTAGGTGAAAAAGAAAAACACAAGGGAATTTTTAAAAAATACATAGAATTGAGGGGCCAGCCTGGGTGGTGTAGAGGTTAAGTTCATGCACTCCACTTCAGAGGCCCGGGGTTCGCCAGTTTGGATCCTGGGTACAGACCTACACACCAATTATGAAGCCATCCCTATGGCAGGCGTCCCACATATAAAGTAGAGGAAGATGCACAGATGTTAGCTCAGGGCCAGTCTTCCTCAGCAAAAAAAGAGGAGGATTGGCAGCAGATGTTAGCTCAGGGCTAATCTTCCTCAAAAAGAAATACATAGAATTGAATGACGATGAAAACACAACCTGTCAAATTTGTGAGACACAGCCCAGTCCTTACTCAGAAAAATGTCTACCTTTACATACATCCCCCTGTTCATTCTCTAATGCTGCCGTGAGCAAGTGCTGCCCTGAAAGTTGCCCAAACAGAACGTGGAGCACTGTGGGAAAACTCACAAAATCTACAAATATCTCCCTGAGGGCCTGCTACATGCTCTGCCTCCAGGATTCAGGAGAGACAAAATATAATGCTGTCAATAACAGACACCTAAAGGAAGAAAACGCATCAGGCAATGGGACACCCACCTTTATTAACAGCTGCCTCATAGGCCTATCCAAACCATTACCCAAGGTACACTCTATGTCAGGAATAAATAACATGGCCCTGATGCTCAGCATGACCCTTGAACCCAAGTCCATACCCTTTTGATCACTCATTAAATTGATGTAAAAATCAACAGACCCTGGAACCAAATCTCCTAAGTACCTTCTAAGGGCTGGGCATGGCTACTTTCATACCATCTCCTCTAGCGCCAAGAGCAAGCCCTTCCCACCAGGCGAGATTAAGCACTTCCCCTCTAACCAACATGGCTGCCACGAGAATGAAACATATTTGCACACAAATACCTGATAGGGTAAGTCAGCCATCCTTAAGTAAGTTTCCATTTTCAAACAGAAAGGAGATAAACTGGGGACACCATTGTTAGGTCTTGCAAACTGATGCAAAATAATAGCATCTTTGGAGTCAATCTCTTGCTGTTTCCTGTTAAAACCAAAACAGAAATAAAGAACAATCCACGTGTTACGCATGCAGTCCCCTTAGTTCCTCAGAGGTCCCTGCTGGGCTGTAGCTCCTCAATGAACAAGCAGATCTGTTTGTCACAGGGGCTTACCTCACCCAGAAGCTCTTAGAGCGTGGAAGCTTGGTCAAAAGACAAGAGAAGCTTACATACTCTGCTATTCCCCTAACCCGAAGGGCTCAGAAAGTTACTACGTCTTCTGGAACCTGCAGTCTATGGGCAAGAAGAGGACTTTCTGGCACAGGTCCACCTCTTCTCCAGCTGGTTATGTTTACCCACCACGGACAAGTTAGATGGATAAAAATGATATTCTGTGCTTACTTGTATCAGGATTGTTCTGAGGGCTTCCCAGGATGATCTCATTTAATCTTCACAATAACCTTATGAGGTAGCTACTATAATTATCCACGATTTATAGATGAGGAAACTGAGGCACAGAGGACTAACTTGCCCAAAGTCACATTACTAGTAAATGGCAGAAGCTGGACTGGCCAGGTAGTCAGAGCCTATGTTCTTGACCACTAGACTATACCATGAAACAGCATCTCCATCCACAGGACCCGGAATAACAGTGCAGATTTACTCTGCCATGACCCAAGTCTGCAGAGCCTCAGAATGTTTGGAGACTCCAAAAACTCTGGTCCCTCTTCCAAACTATCCACGTCCTCAACTGGCCCTTCACCTGTGGTGCCAGAGCCCGGCTCTGGGCTCTCTCTCATCTTCTCTACCTTCACAGGTCCCCACTTTCACCACGCAGCACATATCCTTCTACCTCTGCCTTTTCCCTTTCTTCTATCTCAGTCACACATCTATCTTTTCCTTTGTCTACTTTTTTGGGTGTGGAGGACTTGCCTGGTCCAGTTTTTCAGTAGCCACCATGTAGTAGAGCGAATGCTGGATCCCAAGTCTGGATACCTGGGGTCAAGGCCAAGCCCTGCTTCCTACTGGCCACGCTACCTTAGACCTCTCCTCCTCTCTCACATGGAAAGCGAGGACAGAACGGATTCTGCATCAATTATGGTGAGAATTAAGAGAAGCTCTGTAAACATTTGGTGAGCTATCAAGCATTATATAAGAGTGCTGGACTTAATTCTCAAAGAGATTTGGTCTTATGCCCTTAGGCTCAAAATCTCATCATTCCACACAGCCCCACTCGGACACCACACCCAGGACCCTTTTGCTATTTCCGTCTTTCACTCTACCCAACCATTTCCCAGTCAGATAAACCTCCCTCTTCCCCGTGGCCTTCCCTGAGCTTCTGGTTCCCTCACATGGTTCCTAGTTCAATGCTACGGGTACTTCTACCCAAGCGAGCAAGGGCAAGCTCTTTGTATCATCATCACACGAATGCTCACTTAGAGGAGCATCTTCGTTAAGGAGGACAAACTCTTTTGGAGAAGTTTACCATGAGCATGCCATTCCACTTACAGACTTAAGAAAGACTCCTTTTGAAAATACTGGTCAAAAGAATAAAAATACTTGCTGCTTTCTGGCAATATTTGCTACAAAACAAGGGTTTTCATTGAGATGAAATATTTGAGAGGTCAGATATGAAAATTAAGAAGCCATTTAGACTATGTTTCTAGAAAATGCAAACCGTAGATTTGACAATTAATTTTGTCTAATCAAATAATTCAAGTCACAGTGTGACGTTTTCATGTAAATTAGCCAGGCAAGAATTTAAGAACCAAAAAGTGAGGAGAGAAACATAAAATCCCCTGCCCCATTGGCCAAAACCATCTAATTCTAATGGTTTACTTGGGCCATGGCATAATAAGAATGGATGCTAACTATGTGGCGAGCATATGCCCATGACTTTGTATACATCACACACATTACCTTATTTCATTCTGACAGTAACACTATAGAGTGGATATTGTTGTAGTTCAAATTTAGTATATTATACTATACCTATATTTTACAGTAGACAAGAAAACTGAAGCTCTGAGAGGTTAAATAACTTGCCCAAGGAAGATCAATTTAAGATCAAGTTGTTAATATCTCTAGTTCCCAAGCTCTTACTCATTTCACACCAAAACGGGCAATTCCTCAGTTAATTTTATTCAAACAGCCGGTTTGACTCAGATCACTCAAGCCTGGAACTTTCCAATGGAAGTCTATGTTAGCTAATGATGGCCAACTGTTACTGGATGCTCATTATATGTCAAGCCATGCTAAGCAACTCCCATGTGTTAACATATGTAATCGACTCTGTGAGGAAGGCTACTATTATCCCCATTTTACAGATGAGAAAATCGAGTAGCCAAGAAGCTTACTCTCAGATCCAAGGTTCTCTGGTTGGTTAAAGGCAGAGTAAGTCTGAACTCCATTTGGCTCCAGAGCTCTCCCTCTATGTGAGGAACCTCTCTATCTGCCTCAGGATCAGAGGAGCAGGTGAGCCATTTCCTGGACAGCTAACATCTTACAAAGTGTCCTTAAAATGAGGATTATATAACACCTGTCGAGAAGCAAGATTAGTCCCTGCTCCGGAGGTGAATGCTGTCACAGACGACCACGCCTCTGTGAACAGCTGAGGAGCTGCTGTTTATGAAGATCACAGACTAAACACGGGCTGCTCTGATTCCCTAACCAAGGCTTCTAGGACAGGCTGAGCCCATGCGCCAAAAGTGCAGGTGAAATATGGTAGCAAAGTCATCACTTAGTCATTTAATTTGCAAACGACACATTTCCAAATGCCTACTGAATTTAAGTCAGCTGCTTAACTCTCTCCACTTGGGGAAAAGGAAGCAGAGGGTAGGGACTGTAATTGTTTAAAAACACTGTGGCAAGAAAAACATGGATAAATCCAAAATACCTACTTCAGTTATACTCATTAATTAAATTTTCTGAATAATCCTCACCTGTCAACTCTACTTTCCACTCTGGTGACACAGCCGCAGATTAAGGGTAAGTCTATGCAGCAGAAAATCCAAGTAGAGCGGTGGAGACTTCATGACCACCAGCAAACTCAGACAGAGTAGCCATCTCAGGGTGTACTCCCCTCCTGCACCTTTCAGACGGTTTTGTGTTTTGCCTAAGCTACATGGAAAATCAACACTTAGATGTCCCCATGAGTGAAGGCATCTATCAGGTGACCTCTGCACTCACTGCCAGACCTTCCTCAGTCTTTTTCCCCATCCCTCTGTGCCCCTAGAGGCTGTCAAAACTCAGGTCCCTGCCACAGGCCTGTCTTCCCTCAGCACTGCCCCAGTTCTCTACATTTCCTTTCCTCTCCCCCATCAAAATGTATTTCAGAATTGGTACTTTCTAGGAGGCAGTGGTAACAAGTGCACGCTCTGCAGGCACACACTCCCAGAACCAATCTAGATCCTACTCCTCTTACTGTGTGATCTTGGGCAAGTTGCTTAACCTCTCTCAGCGCCACGTCCTCATCTGTGAAATGGGGATCAAGCATCCAGCGATAGTTGTGAGGAATCCATGCAAATCACGCAGGTAAAGCACTTCTGCGCAGAGCTAAGGGCTCAAAACTGGGCAGCCATTTTTTATTATTTGCATTATAACAGGTTTCCCAACTCAACTTAAACATTGGCCAAGAAACAAAAGTGGGTAAACCAAGGCTTAAAAATACCTTAATCCAAATAAGTACCCAAGTAGTACCCTAAGTGAGGAAGGACATATCTGTGGGCAGAGGGTTCTCCTGTGTCCAGCAACCACACCTACCAGGGCGTGGCCCACATCTGGGTGAGCTCTGAGCCTCCGCTATGTCTGCAAGGCCATTTAAGCCAGGTTTAGACTCGGTCCTGTGAAGCTGGGCCTCCACTCCCTCCACAAAGTAGAAAACTGCTGAGAAGCCACATGGTTCGGGGTCCTCAAAAGCCTTTGGACTGGAACATAATTGAGAAACAACTGCATGACCGTTTAAACTATTGCACGAATGTTTTGGTTGTTCATATAGCTTCAAACCTAACTTGAAAAAGAGTTCTAGAGCTAGCAAAAATATAAAATAATCTGGAGAAATAATTCACTTAAAAATGTTTTATTTTGTTCAACTAGATTCAAGACACTGTGCTCAGTGAGAGAATTCAATGTATCATAAGCTCAAAATAAAACCTCAATTATGGCTAAATAATCTGGAAGCCAAGACATTTCCCCAAATCTAAAGGATCTCCAACCCTCTCAGAGACTAGAAATACTCAAAATCCCTAAGTTAGGCTGTCACAACGTCCTCCTGGAATTCCTGCAGGCCTGTTAAAGGTCACCTAGCACTGGCTCTGTTTACCACCCATTGTGTAGGATTCCCCCACTGGAAAAAGGCGGTGTGGACACATTTCTCACTCTTTAGAAAATACTGGCCAAGAGAGACATTCTGAGCTATTGAAAACTGCTATTTTCTGGTCATCTCCCTGTGGCAGAGGGCTCAAACGCAGAGAAATTTCAACCGTAAATTGACGTATCAATTCACCAAATGACCGTTCCAGTAGCCTACGGTGTGACCCTACTCGAACAAAGATCCGTGTCCGGCTGCATGTACCCACAGCAGGGGCCTCCATTTTCTGGCATTTCTAAGTCAATCCTGTAAACATTCTGCGGCAGGCAGCGGATGTCACTGTTTACGGCACTGGCCTCCTCCCGTGTTCCTGTCAAACACGCCCATGTGCCGGTCCTCGGATTTCCTACCGCTCACACAACAATGGCATTTAAACCTGAAGACGGTGCTTAGCTTTCGGAACCAGACTAGCAGATAACCAGGTTAAGGCTGCATCAGACTGCACACCACGATCCCGGGCCATGCATCTCTAACAGGGACCCAGAGGTCTCCGGAGCTTTGGCAATTTCAGCCTTTCGGAGATGTTGACATTTGGGGCACGATAAAGGAGAACTAACCTTTAAGTAAAAGATAAGGTTAGTGGTTAATATTCCAGCACAATTCCCTATAAACACGTAAGGCATTTCATCACATGTAACTTCGTATTTCTACAGAGCCTAATTCTATTGTTGCAAACACACTGCACTTATATCTTCCTCAGGGCATTTCATAACAGACTGTTTTGCTCCATAACAACCCAGAGAATTTTTGCTTTTAGCACCAAGGATAGAGAGACCAATGCTCTTCCCTCCCAGTACCAGTTTAATTCTCCTGTCAGCTCTGAACTGCCCCTCACGGCCAGGTGACCACGGACCGCCTCTAGGGAAAGGTAAGGGCAGGACTCGAGCATCCGGGTGGCGTGACCGAGGGGCCGGCACGGGTCCCCCCTCGCGCCAGCCCTGCCCTGGCCAGGTGCCCCTCTAGGCGCCCCTGCGCGGGGCCCTCTCTCCGGCTCACCTAATGACCAGGAGTTCGTGGAGCAGATACGCAGCTGCGGCCAGCAAAGCTCCCCCGGTCAAGTAAAGGGTTTTCTTCCACCAGGGATCGGAGCCCAGCCCTGCCATGATCCCACCGTAATCCTGCAAAGGGAAAGCGATGATGTCCCCATAAAAGGAGAAGGGCTCCTCGGACCCGGCCCACCAGCCGAAGAAGGAGACGCTCTGGTTCCAGCTCAGATCCACCACGCACGGCCTGGACGAGGCAAAGCCAACCCCCCAGTGCATGCTGCGCGGCTGGCTGCGGGCGCCCCTCCCAGGGCCCGCGCCGCCCGCATGGGAAGGGGCCGGCGCGGCCGGGCGCCGACTCAGCTGCGCGCTGGGGGCGCGGGCGGCGGCGACCGAGGCGGCGGCGGCGGCGGCGGCGGCGGTGGCGGAGGAGGAGGAAGGGCGCGGGCCGAGGACGGCGGGCCTGGCCGGCGGGGCCCCCGGGCCCGGGGCGGCAGCGGCGGCCGCCGGCTCCCCCCGCAGCGGCCTCTCCGCGCCGCTCTTTGTGTCGGCGCCTGGAGAAGGCCGCGTGATGTCATTGCTCCCCGGGGCAGGGAACCAGAGGCGCGATAAAGTCACCTACCCCGCGCCCTGCCCCCGCCCCGCATCTCCGCGGTCCGGCGGCCTCCGCCCCGGCCGGAGCTGCAGGGCTGGGCGCGCCGGCGGCCTCCGCGCCTCCAGGCGGCACGGCCCGGAACGGCTCGGCGCGCCGGGGCTGGGGCTGCGGAGCCGGCTGGAAATGCGGCTCCCCTGGGAGGAAGCGACAGGCAGGGCCCGGATCTGCGTCCCCCAAGCCCCGCCAACCCCCAGCCCGCCCTCCGCCTCCGCCTCCGCCCCAGCCCCTCCCGCGGCCCGCGAGCGGGAGCGCGCAGGACTCACCTGGGGCGGCGCGGGGCTGCGGGCCGGAGACGCCCCTCGCGGCGCTGGGAGCGGGGCCCGGAGGAAGGTCCGGAATTAGGTTGTTCTGGCGGTCAGGAAGGCGCTGAGTATGTGCACAACTTATAACAACTCTCTTGGTGCGTTACACAATTGCCTAGGTCTTGACCATGTGCCCACGGAGAGGACATGTCTGGTTTGACAAACAACAAAAATGTTCTCTAGAGAGATGTCCCCTCTGACATAACGAGCTCGAGTCTTTCCCCTTGGAAATCATTATCAGGGAACTCGCTGATGGGGAGGGGGGAGGCGGGGAGGTGTTTTTCCTTTCCTCTTTGGTGCAGAAAATCTGTCAAACGTATATGTGTGTTTGTGTATGGGAGAGATGAATTTTTTTTCCTTAACTTTATTTTTAAAAGTTTATAAGCACAAAGAATAGGACCATGTTTCATAGAAGTTTATGATGTGCACACAAATTTTAGCAAGAGAGTAGATAGTTTAAATTTGTTTGAAGGAACTGAAAAAAATTCCATTGGCGGGGGGGCGGTTTATCACTCTTAAGGTGAAAGGATGGAGGCAGGAACCCTCCAGACTTTTGCTGAGAGAGTAGAGATTGGGGTTCAAGGGACTCCCCCTTCCTTTCTACTTCCCCTACCACACCAGTCCCTTAGAGGAGGCAGTGAGTGCAGACATATTGTTAATAAAATACCAGCCCCAACTGACATAAAAGGAGGGGCTAGCCGGAGGGTCCCAAACACCACTGTATACATTTATGTGACCTCTCAGGAGGAAGCGTGTGTGGTTGGAAGTGGACCTTCCATGAGCAGGTTGTAAGCAGTGGAACCCAAGGGCCTGTTGGAGTGACTGAGGTGGTCACCAGACTGTCTTCCAGGAAGAGGGGTCAGGAAGGCCTGGTGCATAGGAAGCAGAGTAGGTAAGTTTGGGCTCAGAGCACAAATGCTCTGTGCGAGAGGAGACAAGAAGCACTGGCACCAGTGAATCTCCATTCTTCTTCCATGTCCTTCCCACAGAGCACTCAGCGTTTGCTCTCATTAAATGTTGAGCCAATATTTAAAGAATATCAGTTTGACATCTGGTACCAAATTACGTGCCCGAGTGTCTGGGTCCAACCATGGCGATGGGCATAAATTACCTTGAGTGGAGGAAAATAGAAGGCGTAAGGGAGAATCCGTACCGACAAACCCTATGCTCAGAAAACAAGTTAGAAACCAGACGAAGTTTATATTTTGATCCCAGAGAGCTGCCTACTGCGTTCCCCTCTCACAAGCACTCTGGTAGGCAGACCTGCCCTGCCCGCTCCTGGAGGCCAGTGGCCCACTGCTGGTTCCTGGGACTATCGGATAATCAGTGCGCATTATCTGGAATTTGGTTCAAATATGGGTTAAATTTTCAGAGATACTCTGAAGTGAACATCTTTAAGAAGCAAGCATAGGTAAAATAAGATCCCATGAGAGAAGTTAAAATATAATCTTAAACAATCTGATGCAAATTAAATTTTAGCTTTTAGACCCATGGCATGGAAGAGAGATTATTAGAACTCTGGCTTGTATGAAGGTGAAAGGAGGCAGTGTAGTCTCCGAAGAACCAACAGGCCTGAGAGTCAGGCAAAAGTTTGGTATGAGAGGGGCCAGCCTGTGGCCGAGTGGATAAGTCCCGCTCCACTTCGGTGGCCCAGGGTTTCCCCGGTTTGGATCCTGGGCGAGGACATGGCACCGCTCATCAAGCCATGCTGAGGTGGCATCCCACGTGCCACAGCTAGAAGGACACACAACTAAAGGTATACAACTATGTACTGGAGGGCTTTGGGGAGAAAAAGGAAAAATAAAATCTTAAAAAAAAAAAAAAAGTTTGGTATGAGAGCGTCAGAACAAAGCTTTGGGGACAAGAAAGCAGCCACAGCTGCGAAGGCACAGCAGCGTTGCCAGCATTGGCCAAATCTTCATGAAAGATCTGACTGAGTCCTCCGTGGAAAAGCTGCTCCACAAAAGGGCGCAGTCCAGTCACAGAGAGAAGGGAGACTATGGCTCAAGGGCAGGACTCAGCCCCCGAGGAGTGGTGATGGTGTAATTAACAGCCAGAGGGAAGGGAACAGAGCTGGGTTAACAGAGGAGCCGAGGAGACTGGCTCTTCAAGGAATGGCTCCTCACAATCCCCTGTGTAAGCCAGATCCCAGGCTCGACCCCCAGTGACTGTGCAGGACCCACATCCTTCAGGGTGAAGGTGTAGGCAAGTGAGCATGTCTGCCCTCCAGCTCCCCTCCTGGGGCTCCTTCAGTTAGTGAGATGGTATAAAGACGTTGGGAGCCAGAGTGGGCTTCTTTACTCCACCCATCCCACCATCACCACCAATTCTGGCAGCTTTGGCCTCATAACCATGGACATTAGCTTCAAGCTAGAAAGATCTTGTGTTTTTTTCTTTTTCAAGGACTTTGTTTTGTTAACAATTGAGGTATTACAAGACAAGAAAAGGGAAGGGACTAATATTTATTGAACATCTCTCTAGTGATATGTTTTTTCAGTAACTTTTCAAAACAATCTGTATTAGATAGTTATCATCATCCCTATTTTATAAATGAGGAAACTGAGGCTCAGTTACTGAGGTAATGAAAGAGTCAGGATTCAAACCCAGTGTGTCTCGGCCAGCAGCCCTTTGGGCTGTCCACCACCTGTGATGTCGCTCACACCAAGTAGTGCTAGAGCGCTGTCCATGGTATTCCTTCTTTATGCCATCAGTCTGTGGCTCAATTCTGAACCACGTCTAAATCCACTGTCTACAAATCTTCAAACACCTGCGGGTTATACTGTCACCTTTTGAGACAGGTGGATCAGACAGTTCCTTATGCAGACACTGCTATGCTGTGTCACATGACTTTGCAGCCTGGCCATGATGATATGGCAAGGGACAACTAAATCAGTGCTTCCCAAACTTTGCATATCTATCAACTGGAGCTCTGCCATGATGATCAAATAACGGATAATTAGATCAGTGCTTCTCAAATATTATTGTGCTTGTGAATCACTGGGGATCTTGTTAACATGCAAATTCTGGCTCAGGAGATCTGGGGTGGGGTCTGAATGTCTGCTTTCTAACAAGCTTCCAGGTGAGACCAGACCATGCTTTGATTAACAGTAGTCTAGACCACTAGCTTACGAGGAGGATCAAAAACTCTGCCCAAAGGGGACACCCCATGTTGGACGGTTCCTAATCAAACCAATCCAGTCACCATTCTTGATGGGTTTGGACACCAGACATATGGATAAATCAGTTGGGACAGCAATAGAATCAGAAATGGAAAGAAAATGAATCCAGACTTAAGAAGAACAATTAGAATAGAGTAATGCATATCCTTTCTAAGAGGTCGATCTGATGCCCAAGTGCTGGGAGCTGAAGAAGGAAGCCACAGGGCAGGAGGGATGGGAGTGGGAGGTTAGGAGGTAAAGGAGGAGAAGACAGAGAATCCTGGGGGATTGGTGATATCATGGCACCTTTTTCAGGTGCCAACGCAAAGAATATAAGCAAATGAGTAAAATATTTTAAAAAGTTCTTTTATCCTATAAAAAATTTTCACAAGAATGTTAAACTTCCTGTTTCAAAATATAGGTTAAGAGATTTAAGACCTTGCTGCCATGGTAAGAAGTGGATGTGATGTTGGCACTATTGCTGAGTTTACACAATGAAATTTAATATGCTATTTTATTACAACATCTCTGTATTATTCAAAGAATAAACAATGTTACCCTGATGGTTATTGTAAAACTTCTCTTTTCTTGGCTTGACTTATGGGGAAGAAATCTAATACTACCCTACCCAGTTATCCTGAGTCCTAGCCAACATTATAGCTGGAAGCCAGTATGTCATCATAAGGTGACCATCTACTTTCCAATCTACTGGACTTGAGTATTTTATAAATCATTATGCAACTCTCAGAAAACATTTCCTGGGGCTGGCCCTGTGGCGCAGCAGTTAAGTGCGCACGTTCCACTTCGGCAGCCTGGGGTTTGCCGGTTCCTATCCCAGGTGTGGACATTGCACTGCTTGGCAAGTCATGCTGTGGTAGGCATCCCACATATAAACTAGAGGAAGATGGGCATGGATGTTAGCTCAGGGCCAGTCTTCCGCAGCAAAAAGAGGGAGATTGGCAGATGTTAGCTCAGGGCTAGTCTTCCTCAAAAAGAAACATTTCCTGCAAGATTGACTTGATGCTGAGAAAAGTTATGCAAATAATAACTAGGCTCAGACAAGTGAGGGGCAATTGAGAAAGTGCGTCATGAGAAGGGTTTGGGAGATTTTGAGCTTGCAGTACATTAGTTTGCTAGATCTGCCATAACAAAGTACCACAGACTGAGTGGCTTAAACAACAGGAATTTATTTCCTCCCTTCTGGAGGCTAGTTCTGAAGGCTAGATATCTGAGATCAACACGTTGGGAAGATTGATTTCTTC